ATATACGCCAAATCCAACAGCGTTACTTGCTTCCTCCACTTCCCTTCTGCACTTCATGCCTTTTCAGCAAGGAATGTGGAAACAGGACTAAAAGCTTTGACTCTTTTGGAAGGAGAAGAGAAGAGCAGAGCGTCCTCCCAGTAAATTGCAAAAGGACTGCCACAGGACAGCTTGATGGCTGGAAAATAAGTGCAACCAGGCAACAGCTTCTCAGTGGGGCATTGCCATCCACAGGTACAGACAGCAGAGCAGGATTAACATGGGACTCCTGATGCTTCCTGCAACCTCCTTTCAGACTCAACAGATGCTGCACAAATTAAGCCATTTTTTTTGAAAGCAGCTCCTGACTGAGCTGGCTTGTCAGGCCCCACAGCAGAAAACCACACGGAGAAGTGGATCTCCAGAAGGTCTCCACTAGGAGCCAAGCTTCCCTTAGTTCCCACCAGGCCAACAAGCGTCCAGGGCCACCAGCAGTGCTCCTCTGCGTGACCCAGGGACTCCATGCTGAGATCAGGCAAGGCAGACACTTTGCAAGTCACACGAGAGGAAGCTTTGGGGTATTTTGAATTGATCCACAGATCTGGCCCACTCATTTTCTCTGCCATAAGTGGTGAAAACAGACAAAACCAAACCCCAGCAGACCAGATCATGCTCTCAGTTACAATGGAGTAACTCCGTCACTCAAGACAATGAAGGACTGAAACCAAACCAAATCTGATCTCCCAAGCTCACTTTCTTCTGTTCCATTACAGAAAGGCATATGATTTCCGAAGCAAGGCCTATGGCATACAACTGGTTCACTATGAAGAACCACTACTTACTAGTACCATGAAGCAGTCTGCAATATCTACTGTGCCCCTGGAAGATCTCCTCCCAATCCCCAGCCTCAGACTAAAAAGTGATGTTTTTTCTCTACAAATTGAAGCACCCAGACTCTACGCGACAATTGCCTGGGTATTATTGACTGCATTTTTTCCTTGCAGCTTACACAGACCACACCGATTCCCCCCCATCACTTTCCATACGAGTAATTATGAAAGGCAGGCATGTATCACTCGGGCAGATGCAAACATCATGGGACTCCCCAAACTTTTTCTGTTTCATCTGGATAGCTCAGGATACGACACAATTAAAACACTTTGGCTCCCACAAATAACAATGGCGCCTTGTAGACACTACAAAGTGAAAAAAAACCCCTGTTGTTTTGACAAACTAAGCTCAGTTTCCTAAATGCGGGTTCCTGGGCTCTACCCAGCTGTATTACCAAAGCCTGCGTGCAGTGGAGGTTTACACGATCATTTAGTCTATGAGTAAAAGAGACAGCAAATGGAGAAGTATGAATTTTCAGGCCACAGTTAGTAATAGTGAAGATGTCTGAATTCTTGGTTGCTTAGGGACTTCCCAGCAGTACCCACAGTCTCTGGAACGCACTTCATTACTTTTACTTCACACATACATGACATTTTAAGTCCCATTTTTAAGAAGTCCCGAGAAGACACAATCCCTGAGCACAGCTGAAGACCCACGGGTGCCCCTGAAGTCCACCATACGGAGTTCTTCCCGGGGCCGTGGCCCCGCCACCAGCAGCAGCAGCCACAAAGCATGCACACCGTCCTTCCATGATATCACCACTGCTGAAGATTAGCTGCTGTTTCCAGACTAAGGCAGAGTGGGAGGCCACAAAGAAGAGACGTGTGATGCACTCTACCTTGCACTGACCCCGTCGGGCTGGTGACTAAGCTGCAGAGAGACCAACAACCTCTTCTGCTTACCCATAACAAAACTTATCTGCCCCATGTATTATGCAGAAGATAGTTTCCAGTATTTTTTGGTTTTAGTTAAGACTTATAGTAAGTAAAATTTTTTATCTAGCACAACGCTTCTTGTCAACTGATACCCACACTGACCAAAGACAGCTAACATTTGCCTTAATGGGGTCATTGTGCCTCCCTTCCCTTACACAGCTCATTAAAAAGACTGTGGCTGAACAAGACATGTAACTCAAGCCCACTGTTTCACCTGTGCTACACTCCCCCACTTTCTTTCTCAACAAGACTGCACTTGAAAGAAACAAACACAGCCGTGCAAAACACAGAAATCGGGTAACATTGGGCTTGTCGCATTTGCAGACTTTGCCAAAGAATATCACAGGTTTATTTACATAGAATTAGAACATGGAAAAACTTGTGTACTGTTATATTTAAAGTTGTTTTAAAAACTACAAAGCACTTCCCTTCTGAGAATTAGTTATGTTCGACCACTTAGCTGCAAAAGCCTTGCCACAAAAACACTTCCTGTTCATAGCTGATTACTTCCAAAGTTAAATGCTCTTAAAGGCTGATCAGTCATAGCATTGTATTCACCAAAATCTTTTTACTTCAGAAAACAACTAAATTTCAACAACAGACTAAGTGTTTCTGAAAGGGTCATAAAAAAAAAATAAAGGATATTTACAGAATTCAGCATTTATAAGTGTGCTTTGAATCCAGCCTAATTTTCTAATGTTTAGGCAATCATAGCAATTACCTGTTCAAATCAACTACCTTCTCATTTGTGCATACAAACTGTGATAATCAAATAATGTAGGTATCAGCCTAAACGATTAAATTCCATAATTCTTCTGAATTTTTTTTAATCTATTTTATATAAATATCCTATATCCAGCAAAGATTTCTGGCATTCAGCCAGGCTGTCTCATTTGCATAAACTCTGGGTCCCAGGTGCTTGATTAGCTACAAGGTTGTTTTAATTAAGCACCGTCTCTTGCTACATCCACTTTCTACAGTGAAAGCCACAAGTTAATATTGCTCCTTATCAACGATTGATTAGGAATAATGTTTTCAGGCAGTGTCTACTTCCCACTGACACAGTGAGTTTAGTGTTTGAAAATGGAGTTCTAACTCCATTAGCCATTTCAAACATTTTCACTCTGAATCTATTCTAATAGCTTTCAGTCTGAAAGCATGTTACCAGTGGTTAAATCTTTAGACAGATGCATCAAAAATGATTATATTACTTCCTGAAATGGCAGCCCTTCTAAGAGAGCTAACCGCACACGGGCAGAAATGCTGCTGTATGTTAATACTCAGATTCAACCTCTCTAAAGAAAAGCTGCTCAGCCCCATTTTCATCCAAGCAACCAGATTTAGTTAACATTACCAAAAACTGTAATGAGTTAGTCCATCAAATTAAAAAGCAGGCTAAGATGCAACTTTGCTGTACTAACACCATCATGCAAATGCTGTCGCTATACGGGGTTCCTGACAGGCTGCTGTCACAGCACAGACCTCACCGAGGAGGTACGTTTACAGGACAGATTTTGCCCCATTGCTCACTGAATCACGCTCAGTGTGAGAGGCTGTGCTCTGCCCACACACTGTTTGCTTTGCTGACTGCATTAGCTCTCTCTATTTAAATAGTTGGAGTGCATCCCTCCAAGCCTAGATACCTCTCTCGCTTTTCTGCTCCTCCCAGCCGATGCGAACTTGCAAGTCAATGATACCCATACCACATTAATCATGAGAATAATGGACTCAATTTCTGCTCCTCTAAGGATGAGCAGATACTGCCCATCACATGGGAAAGTGGGAGATAAGTCATGTGCTATTGAAAATAACCCATGATCTTACCACTGTAACTCTTCTGATCTTAGAAATAAGTCAGGTTTACAGGGTTATTTCCAAGGAGGCTCTAAGTCCTGTGCTTAGAGCTGCCCCTATGGCACACATGCTCTGTTTCATGTGAAGAGGCAGCACCGCGCGTACTCTTGCCCTCTCCCCTTAAAGATGCATCTAGTTCTGTTGTGAACTTCTGTACCCGAATGAATAACTATTTGTCCCTGTACAACATCTAGATAGCAGAGGTTTCACAATCTGAAAAATAGGGAGATCTTGGCTATTCCTTGTTCAGAGCTAAAAAAAAAGAAGCCTGGAAACAGTCACACCTGCAGTGATGGAGAATTATCAGCACTGCACGACTCAGCCCCTCTTCTAAGGCCTCTATGATACTTGAAGGGCACCTGCATGGTCTTTCAAAAGCTCAGAACCACGAACATGTCAGACTAAACTTCAACAGGTTTTGCATTACACAGGTAAGCTTTGCCATCTTACACCTGTCCTAAATTTAGGCAATTAATTACTATTTCTACTGCAGGCTTAAATCAGACATTCAGCCATATTTATACAATTAGTTTAAGAAAGTCTGAGTTCCACTTTTCAAACAGAGATTTAAAAAAATAGTATGTGGGGAGGGGAGGAGGAACAAATTTTCATGACCCAGAGAGTTTAACATGCTTTTACACCATATCAAATTGAAATACCTATTAAATACTTTCAGCTACCTTTTTATGACAATTAACTTATATTTATCAACATATTGTTAACATATATTTAGTTACCAAACCTCCACACAAGCAAAGGTATTAGCAAAGGGGTGCTGAGCCTGTTGCCACTAAGGGAGGGCACCAATGATGCTATGCAAGACTTGAGGTCCTGGAGAGATTTGAAAAAAGACTGCTGGGTGTTCAGTGACATGAAGAAAGGACAAAAAAATACTTATGAATGGACACAGCAAGCATTTTGCTTGGACACATGAAGGTGCTTAGGAGCAGAAGTACAAATGTACGACAACAAATCTGTGCAAGACTAACATGTGGAAGGTCAAAGGTGAGAGGGAGACCAATCTAAAGGAAGTTGTCATACTTCTTTCATAGTGTCCTTTCCGGTAAACATGGAGGAGAAAAGTGAGAAATAGGAATTCCAGACAGCAGTGGTTCCAGTTGTCAAGGGAGAGCGTGGCCAGGTCTGGGAAACAGAGGGTGAATGGAGCATGGTAACCCAATGGTGAAGATGCAAACCTACCAGCATCACGGCCAAGCACGCACTTTTATAAGCACAACAGGAAGCCCATCAACTCCCACTTACTACCACCGAGAAGTGTAGTGCAAGCTCACACTCATGTGACAGGGAGCTCCTGTGAAGCTCTGCAGATCCTTCCTCTACACAGTTGCTGTATTGCTGCAGAAACTTCCACTGGCTGTTATTTCACAGCACAGCAACAGAAGGATAGTTTGTTCATGGGATCCAGGAGCAGGTGAAAAATGAAGCTGAGCTGATATGCTTTTTCTCAAAGGGAGATTGGACTTTGGGCAGGCAGGAGGAGAGTTAGCAAGCAAAGCATTGCTAGGAAAATAAGAAGTGGAACTGATGTGAATCAATGTGTTTTTTTTGGGTTTTTTTTTTTTTTTTTTAAGGATTATTAAGCACAGTTACAAAAAAGTGAAGCATCTTTTCCCTGGCTGGAGTAAAAAACCAGAGAACGCATCTTTGTAACGTATACATCTTGTATTCTTCTGTTGAAATGCAGGGAAATGGATGAATACAGTCAATTGGGTTCAGATTGATAGCAAGAATTCTTTGCTATTCCACAGACTTCTTGTAAGATGTTGGAAATGACCAACAGAAGTCTTGCGAGGATAACTGCATTCTCTTTGAATTGCATTCAGAGAGAGAAAGCAATTCTGAGACAAAACAAGACTAGACAGTACAGCAGCTATGATGATAATTGACCCATCTCTGATGCATGCAGTGAATACCTCGGATCCAGAAACGGGAAATCATTATTGAAAGCAGAATTTTCTCTCATGCTTACTATCTCAGCGAATTCTTTTAGTGGGGTTTCACTCTGAAGAGAGTTTTGCCCATAGGATGCACTGACACACAGGCCCAAACTGGGGTGCATCAACAGTGAGCCATAAAGCCTGAAGCAGTTGTAATCATTAGGAGTTAAACAGTAACGTCCACCATTTCCTCAGGCATTATCACATTAAATAACACTCAGAGCCAGCCCTGAGCACCCCCTAATTCAGTCAGACATGGATGCCTTTCTACTCAAATGGCTGACCCAGACTTTTGTGCACAGGTGATCTTTCAGC